ATAATAAACTTGTGAAACATCCTTCTGTATTTTTAGGCCATAACTAATATATTTAAAAATGTATTTGCGTTTTAGTTTAAAAGTTACAAATGTTCATAAAAACTTCATAAAAATTTGGTAATATTTATTGTCATGTTTTATAACAATGTGTCCTGTGGGCTTTTATATATTTTGAACATTCCGCCTTATATATTTTTCTAAATATTTTACGAGGGTTGTTATTTTTTACAACAAATTTAAACTTAAGAGTAGAGTACGTAAGACTTTAATTTTCAGTTCTACTTTCCTCAAACCTGAGAGCGTAGCTTAAACAGATTTACAACTTAAAAAGGTCTATAAAAAGGATTTGTTATGAATATAGTTTTTAATTGAGATAGGAAGATTAAGGTACTTTTGACAAGCTTGTATCTTTGGGCTGCGAGGTTTCTCACAGTATAACTGATATATTTTATGTTCTAAAAAGTAACAATCCATCATTCTTTTTCGTAAAGCATAATGAATCGTGTAGATTTATGTATTATATATTAATTGTAAATTCTTCCTTTATATAATCAGATGTTTTTCGTAAAGTTAAAAGTATTTTTTCTGAAAACCATAATTTAAAAGGTTTGTTCTGGTCCACCCTAGCAAGACTTCATCATTGGTGAAGATGAAATAAACTAGTAAATCAGCGAGTTTACAAAAACCTAAGTTAAATTTAACTATTTAAAAAATGTATTCATATAATAAACACAATATAACATATTACAACTACGAATGACTAAATAGAACCATACTTTGAAATACCGATATGAAATACCGTGGAAAAATATTTCAAACCGAGACGTCCCAGCAACAGATGGCAGCAGAGTTGACTAATACTCAAGAGGGAAGAATACCAAATTGTCTTTGAACATAGGATTCTCCTTAGTGCCATTAATCATCGGGCGTAGCCTTACTTGTTCATGAAATCACTTGCACCTGTCTAGGCTCGCAACCGCTCATGATTGAACGAGTACTTCCGGTAGAACTAGAAACCTACTCCGTATGGCCTAAATTAATTAGCAGCTGGCATTATTCAAAGTTAATTTGACTTATTCGAAATTTATCTCCTGTTATGCGCAAAACTATTAGGAATTCTCGGGTATCCTGTAGATTTGAATTTATGTGAATGGAAGTTGAACAGAGTGAACTGACGCAATTGACAGTTAATATTAAGAGAAAACATAACTAGGCCCGTCAGTTTCCAGAGCCCAAAATTTTAAATATTTTCTAGAAAATAAAAGTTATAAAATTTAATTAATTGTCAACTACTACTTCGTTGATTAATCAGATTGATACAGAATTTTTTAGCATTTTTGAACAAATATTATTTTTTCAGATTATACAAACACAATCTAAATCCTTAAATCTTTATTTTTAACACACAATTACGAGGAGCTAGTTGATCCACAGTATTACACTTACGGCTACGAATACCCACCATAAAATTATAAAAAATACTGGTTAGGGATAGTTAGGGAAAATAAAAATACTGGAAGATATAAGTATTTTTTATTAAAGCACCTTAAATATGTATGTTGTATAAGTTGATCAGAGTTTGGCAGATACATGGACGGACAAGAAGATTGAATAATATTTTAGGTATATTTATTCAGTGCTTTAAAATTTAATTCAAAATCCCTTGACTTTATACTGTCCTACTAGGAGACCAGTGTGAGCAAATTTCTCTAGTTTGGCATTTTTTGGCATTATTCAAATTTAAATTAAATAAAACTCAATAATACCGTAAATAATTTCCTTTTAACAACAGCTAACAATCCTTGACATGTTTGATATATAAAACTCAAACCTTTAGAAGACAAAACATTGCTCATTACTGACAAATTAAACAAATTTGCTCCTTGTTCCTAATCTTGTAGACCAAAAAAATATAAAAACTTTAAATAAACAAAATTAAGGCGTATTTAGAAAAACAATATATAATTCCTTATATTATATAAAAACTGAATAAAAATAATTATAGATGACTATTAGTTTCAGATCACACCTTATATTCTTCCCATAACACCGGCTCCTTGTCAATCACCATATTAATATGGAAATTTTCATGTAGAAGGTTTTCTGTGCCATATACATCAGAAGTTTCATCATCGTGAGATAAAATTTCCTTGGTCTTTGATAAGTGTTTTAACTTGTAACTTTACTCAATCAATCAATATCAAAGTATATCACACCCTACCTTTCGATTTGAAGTTTGTTGCTAATTGGACAAAGTACCTGCCTCAATATGATTGACCCAAAACATGTGTGGTTATTTAAAGAAAAAGGACGATCGGATCCGATACACTCAAACCTGGTGAGATGAGGGTTAAAAGTAATTTTAAATCTTACTTTACAATACTTTTGAGAAAGGGTCCGTTCACTCTTATTTGTATAGGATGGATGCCTCGGCCCGCTATGATATTTAATATTACTGATGATCCCGCTCCCCTTCCAAACACGCCTATCGAAACGTAACATACGCTGATGACTGAGCCATTCTAAGACTCTCACTCTGTCACAGCTAATCTAACCCTCCGACAAGCTGTATTCTGATGAACAGTGGTTCAAATAATTGCAAATAAAACTAGACACCACAAAGTCCCAAAACATGACTTTCACCCTCCGTCGCAATTGCAGAAAACGTCACCCGTTAGCTAGAGCTCTATCTTGACTAACATCGCACCTGGAATCCCCGTAAAAGGATAGAACTGGACTGACAATATCGATACATTTATGTCAACTATCTCACGACAACAAAATATTCATATATAATTGAACATTGGAACCAATATGGATATCCGGCTTAGAACTATAGTATTCAACCAAACTTCCAATCTCCGCAGAATCCAGATCCTCTCAATTAATAATCTCTTAATCCATACTGGATTGCAGGTGTAATTACTCGGAATCGGACAGTTCGTTTGATATGGGAATCCATGTTTCTTTTCCCTCTATTATTCATCGAGTATATTCCAAACTTATTTCAGGATGATTTTACTACCGATGCCGTCTCCTCAAGTTCACTCTATGACTCTCCGTAAGAATTTTATTTGACGTATGGATTTGGCTAACCCTTCACTGTTCATTTTATTTTTCAGTTTCATTTTTGATTGCATAGGTTACTTATTCTCAAAAGGCATTTTTGGTTTTGCTGAAGTCAAGTCATATTTCACTTATATCTGGTTGAGATTAAAAGATCACACTGCAAAAGAAGGGAAAATTCGAAAAGCAGGTTGAGATGGGAATTTGGTGTCCGATAGATCGAAGTCACGATAGCTCAAGCGGTCAGAGCAGCGGAGTATTGAGCCGAAGATCGTGCGTTCGATTCCCGCTCGTGACACTAACTTTTTCATTTCAACTAATACTTTACATAGAGATTAATTAACTGCAAAATATCTTCTATTCTTATAATTATCTGATCGTTCGTAAACAAAAGCTAAAGCGGATCCATTTGCAACTAGACAATTGCAAGGAGTTTGTCACACTGCATCAAACATTATTGTCAATGTAGATGTTAAAATAAGAGGTGATAATGAACATCCTTTTCGGACACTGATTACTTTTAATAGAAATGATAAATTGTGGAGTGAGTGTGTTGTTCAATCTTTTTAAAAAGATAGTTCCTATTTAATTCATATTTAATTGCGTTACAATTCTCGCTTTTTCCACGTTGAAAATTGTGCTGCATTAAAAATCAGCTTCTCATTGGAACGTCGCGCTGGCGGGGGATCAGCGGGTAAAACAAAACTGTGAATAGGAACTGTCTTTTTAAAAAGAATGATCCTTTTTATCAACCCAATAAATTTCTTCCGAATATAATTTCTGTTTTCTCATATAAGACTTTTCACTCTTATTAGCAATGATGCTCCAGAGAAGGCTTTTGTTCTCTCTGTAAATCGCTTTCTCATAACTAATAGACAGCGATTACAAATTAAACTCCCGCTTCTTATTGTTTAGCTGTATCATAATTGTAACATTATTAATGTAGGATCAACATTTCAAAAGGCGGTTGCTTATTATTGAGCTGTGCCGTTTATAACATGTGTTCAGAAGACTTATACCACGATAAGTTTTGGACCCATCCAATGCCTCTTTCTTAAACAAGAAATTGCCACTGCTCTCCTCCAAGTTCAGGAATAGCCCCGATTGAATCGATATTGCCGAAGATGATTTTTAACCATTAAGCAAATCCCCATATGTTCAGCAGTTCCAATTCCATCCAGTTGTTTTTCTGTTATTCATTTAATTTGGTGCTTCATACTTCGCATTATACTGTCGTCTTGGTATGGCTCAGATCAAACAGATATTGTATTGTTTAAGTTTTGGCCCTGTTGGGGCTTCGGCGACCTCAAGTTAGGGTCGAGGTATATCTTTACCCCGCGGTTCGAACAAAGGGAAAATAAAAGAGAATGCTGGATAAGTTTCTGCTTTTATTTCACACAAAAATACTTGTAGAAGTAGAATGACAAAATTAAATGGCTTACTCGCACAAACTACAACAAAAAGATCGGCTTGTCAAATACAAAATAAAATGAAGTAAAAAAAATTAAAGAAAAATCTACAAAAACACAAATGAAAAAAACAAAAAAAAACAATCGACTTGCGTGTTCTGGGGTACCCCTATTTAGCCGGCGAAATGTAAGTCAGGCGACGCGTTGACGCGGCGGCAGGCGTTCAGCAGCAAAAGGCAGATGCGGGCAGCAACAGGTCAAGCAGTAGTTCCGACCGAGGCTCGAGCGTAAGTAAAAAGTAAAACTCCGAGTCATGTCAACAATCCTGTTATCGGCGAGTTAATTCCGTTGTTGTCAACATGCCGATCACCGCGGCTCGGCCCGAAAGCGTACGGCCGTAACACACCGCCCACCAAATTTCAGGCGAAATTTCAACTCGAAGATCCCAGAAAAGCACAACAGAAAGATGAAAAAAAAACAGAAGAAAACAAAGGGGCGTGGGAAAAGAATGTGTCACTGGAGCAGTCAGGGCTCAGGCAGCAGAGGAGATAGACGGACCACTGGTCGTGTGTACTCTCCAATAGGCGTCTTGACGCGTACCACTCTCACTGTTCCATCCTTGCCTGGGTACTTCTCGATGATGCGGCCGATCTGCCAAGATAGTGGATGCGCCTGGCCGTCCCTTAAGACTACAAGGGTTCCCAACTCAAGGTTGTCGGTTCGCTGTTGCCACTTCGGCCGTTGTTGGAGAGTGGTGAGATACTCCAATCGCCACTTCTTCCAGAAATCCGCTGTGCATTTCTGTAAAAATTGCCAGCGAGTCATTAGATGATGAGCGTGATCAGACCAGTCCGGTTGGGGTAGTGACACCAAGGCGTCACCTATTATAAAATGTCCGGGTGTCAATACGTCGTAATCGTTAGGGGATGAGGACATCGGATACAGCGGTCGGGAATTGAGGATCGCTTCGACCCGGCTCGTGACGGTAGATAACTCCTCGAACGTCAATGGTTGGTACTGGAGAACTCGTGTGAGGTGGTACTTCATCGATTTCACGGCCGCTTCCCATAGACCGCCAAAGTGGGGAGCGGCCGGCGGGATGAAGGTCCACTCTATGCCTCGCTTTACCAGTTCTTCCTTAATTTCTTGGTGCGTTTTCTCTGCGTTCCACCATTCGTAGAGTTCTGCCAGTTGACGCTTGGCTCCTACAAAGTTTGTCGCGTTGTCAGACATAATTTTGCTTGGGATTCCTCTTCTGGCGATAAATCGATCCAAGCACGCGAGGAAGGCAGACGACGAGAGTTGTGACACAACCTCAATGTGTACAGCCTTGGTTCCGAGGCAAACGAATACGGAGATGTATGCTTTGCTGAGAGCGGCCTTGCGTCTTAAAGATTCGCGGATTGGAAAGGGGCCTGCGAAATCTACTCCTACGTTCAGAAAAGCTCTTCCTTGTTCGAAGCGTGAGATGGGCAAGTCCCCCATTAAAGGCGTAATGGGTCCAGCTCTCAGGCGGTGGCAACGGACGCAGTGATGGACCCGAGATCGAACAAGCCTCCGAGCGCAGGGGACCCAGTATCGTCGTCTCAGCAATGCCAGGAGAAGTTGGGGTCCAGCATGAGCGTATACTATGTGGAGGTGGTCAATTAGCAACTGGGTAAGGTACGACTTATACGGAAGAATGATCGGATGTTTGAATTGGTGGCTCACAGGTGCATTAGCCAGGCGTCCGCCCACCCTAAGGAGACCGAGAGAGTCCACATATGGATTCAGTGACCTCAAGTCTGTCGACCCCTTTCTAAAATGGTGTTGCTGCACGGACTTTATTAAGGAGTGAGTGGATGCGTTAACCTCTCTTAAACTCAAAGTGCCATTAATCCGCTGCTCCGTCCGAACACGTAGGTTCTCGATGAACCGTCGTACGTAGCCAACGGCTCGCGTTAGTCGAGCGTATGACGAGAATCGTCGTATCAGGTCTTCGATTGTATCAGTCTCATCCGTAGCTAGCAGAACCGTCTGCGGCTTAACTTCTGGTAGATCTGTTCCCTCTTCTACATAAGATTTCAGGGGCCACTCGTCCCTCGGGCGTTTGATCCAGTCCGGGCCCTCTTGCCAAGTGTGTTGGCTCACAAGAGTGAGAGGATCCGTCCCTCGCGATGCGACGTCTGCAGCGTTGTCCTCAGATCGCACATGAAACCAGGAGCTGAGGGAGGAGTGGTCCAGTATCTTGACGACTCGGTTGGCCACGAACGTCTTCAGTCGGTGAGGCGGTAAATGCAGCCAAGACAAGACCGTGGAGGAGTCGGTGAGAAGCACGATCTCATGTATGCTCAGGCTAGTCAAGGTGTTAGTCAGAGATCGTAGAACATCGACCAACAATAACGCGGCGCAGAGCTCTAGTCGCGGGATGGTGAGGGTCTTCAGAGGGGCCAGACGGGTTTTCGCGAAGAGAAGATTCGTGATGGGATCTTCGCCTGGGCTCTCTACCCGAAGGTAAAGGACCGTTGCATAACCCAAGGCGGAAGCATCGGCGAAACCAAAGAGGGTAGCGCGAGTAGGATGATATGGAATAAGGCAGCGTGGCAGTTTTAGGGAATTCAAGACCGGCAAATAATCATAAAGTCGCGTCCATTCAGTGCCAAGTTGTTCTGGAATTTGTTCATCCCAACCGATCTTGCATTCCCAGAGTCTTTGCAATATCACCTTCGCTCGGAAGACTACTGGTGCCAGGTAGCCCAGAGGGTCGTACATTCTGGCGATAGTCGACATAATACCTCTCTTGGTCAGAACGCATTTTGCCGGTTGTATTTTGAAGGACAGACAATCTATGTTCGGCTCCCACTGCATCCCTAGGACTTTCACGGTCGCGTCTTCGAGGTTAGACAGCGGAACCACGAACGTCAGCGATTGTTGATACATTCCATCTGGAAGGTCCGTGACGTTACTGCACCATGGCTTTAAGGAGAAACCACCCTTTCTCAGCAAATCGGTTAGCTCTTGTTGAAGCATCCTCGCTCCTTTAACAGTGTCCGACCCGGTCAGTATGTCGTCGATGTAGACATTCTCCATTAAGGCTTTAGATGCTAAGGGATACCGTTCACCCTCATCCTGGACCAATTGCCTTAAAACCCGGAGTGCTAGAAACGGAGAACAGGAAAGTCCAAAGGACAGTCTATGAAACTCATCTTCCCGGACAGCCTCGGCGGGATCAGACCTATAAAACAGGTGTTGGAATCGCTGGTCCTCGTCCGCGAGCAGGATCTGCAGATACATCTGGTTGATATCCGAAGTCATGGCAAACTTGTGGACCCGAAACGTCAGCAAAACGTCCTTTATGTCCTTCTGTAATTTCGGTCCGGTCAACAGCTGATCGTTTAGCGAACCCATTGATGTGGTGTGGGAGGCATCGAAGACGACGCGCAGCTTCGTTGTGGTTCCATCCTTCAACACCCCATGATGTGGAAGGAAGTATAAGCCATCACGAACAGCCACCGACATGAATCCTTTCTCCATGTGGTCGCGGAACACTCGGTCATACTCAGCTTTCAGGGCGGTATCTCTCAGCAAACGCTGTTCTAATTTATTGAAGCGGTGGCGTGCACTCAGCTCCGAGTCGCCCAACATAACCGGAGTATTCTTGAAGGGTAGCCTGACGACGTATCGTCCATCCTCCCGTCGTGTGTGCGTTTTTGCGAAATGCTCTTCACATTGAGTGTCCCGCGGATCATCTTTCGGAACACCGATGCTCTCTTCGACGGTCCAAAACCGAGACATCACCTTATACATGTCATCAATGTCATTATTATCCGACGGGGAGGCTGCGAATAGTGAAGCTTGCTTCCGGGGAGAGAGGACGTCGACTCTTCCAAGCAGGACCCAGCCGAAGACCGTATTGATGGCGTCGGGGAGACCTTCAGGCATTTTCTTAATATCTCCCAAAAGAATATCGGTCAGAAGATCCGCTCCCAGAAGGAAATCGACTGGTCCGGGTGTGCAGTAAGAGGGATCGGCCAGATCGAGATCATTCATAAACGCCGACCATTGGTTAGGCAATTTCCTTAATGGCATGTCCTCGCATATTCGGTCAATCACAATCGCGTTAACCCGTAGGCGGGGTGCGGGGGTTTTTCTCGGCATTAGGATGCACGCGACTTCCAGCTGGGCTCCCTGTATGGCGCTGTTCCCAAGACCGACTAATTTGTGGGCCTTAGGTTTTCCTGGGAGCGACAGGCGTTGAGCGCATTCGTTTGTTATAAAGGAACGCTGCGACCCACTGTCTACTACAATTCGGACTGTGTAAGGCTTGCCGCTAGATCCCTGCATTCGTGCTTGAATAGTCCCCAGTAGTACGTCAGTGTCTTCCTTTGATGATGCTGCCAGCACAGCGTGTTTTGAGTCAGATTTGAGGGGTGCTCGCGCTCCTCGCGTTGGTGAACGTTCGACTGTACCTATGTCTTCGTTAGGTCCTTCTGCGGAGACGCCAAGAGGTGAGCCGCTGATCGCTTTTGCAAAATGGAGCAAGGTGTGATGACGGCCGTCGCATCGTCGACATGAGCGTTCAGTGGGACAGGCGGGGCTAGAGTGTCCAGAGGACAAACAATTAAAACAACGGTTCATCATCTTTATCTTTTCCCAACGTTTCTTCGTATCCCACGAACGCAGTACACTACAATCGAATATTCGGTGTTTGTCCCGACAGATAGGACACCGTAGTAGTGCGGATGTGGCCCGAGTTGACATGAATACGTGTCTGGTTATTCTTGCAGTTTTGGTATCGGATCCAGAGACCGCGGGGGAGCCGGACACGAGCGCGCTTGACTGTAGGGTCAGGATCTGCCTTTGCAGAAAATCAGCGAAGTCGGAAAAGCTAGGAATTTCTTCCCGTCCGCCGAACTCGTTTTCGAATCTATCCCGCGTCTTAGAGTCCAAAAGTCGCAGAGCGAAAGTGTGCAACACGAATCCGCTCGGGTCGGGAAGTTGCATCCTCCTAAAAGCGTGGCAATTCTCAATGACGACCGCCGAGAAGTGTTCCAGGGTCGAGCAAGTTGCCTTTGTTATTGGTTTAAAGTTGAATAGCTGGGTTAAGTGGTTCATTGCCCTGATGCGATTGCTTTCATATCTCTTTGTTAGGGCTTCCCAGGCTTGCAGATAGTTTGCTTCGCCAATCGAGATTGCGGAGATCACCTGTGCGGCAGACCCCTTCAAGCACGACTGCAAATAATGAAACTTTTGGATTTGGGTTATGTCTTCGTTCAGGTGTACAAGCGCCGTGTATGTATCCCTAAAAGAAGACCAGCTGGTCAGGTCACCGTCGAAGGAAGGCAGCTCTAAACTCGGCAATCTAAGTTGAACAGAGTGTGTTGCTGACTGAGTAGAAGTTCGATTGTGAGACGAATTCGTGTCTTTCCTTTTTGACAAGGCCAAAGCTTCATAGTACTGCGTCTGGATGGTCGACTTCAGGGCGGATAATTCATCGCACGGCATCTTGGCCTTCTTCATTAATAAGCGTATATCCCGGAGTAGTTCCAAGAATCTCTCGAATGCGCTGTCGAGACGAGAAATACGAGCCTCGAAAATAATAGGGTCGGCGGCGTCCATTTGGCATTGTTTTCCAATTTTCAAAGTTTCCTGAATGTCTGCAACTAAGTCGTTGATCTCATCCCGCATACATTCTATTTCTAAGTCCCGATCTTCTGAGATTTTCGGCATGGTGTGACTCGATTACCGCGTTGGATCGTACAATTAAATCAGAATTGACAAATCAAAAAAATCAGACAGATTCAAACAATTTTTTTTTTTTTTTTTTTTTTTTTTTTTTTTTTTTTTTTTTAACGGAATGTGAGCATAAAGCAGAAGCTTATCCGGCCCGGAGGACCACTTTGTTGGGGCTTCGGCGACCTCAAGTTATGGTCGAGGTATATCTTTACCCCGCGGTTCGAACAAAGGGAAAATAAAAGAGAATGCTGGATAAGTTTCTGCTTTTATTTCACACAAAATACTTGTAGAAGTAGAATGACAAAATTAAATGGCTTACTCGCACAAACTACAACAAAAAGATCGGCTTGTCAAATACAAAATAAAATGAAGTAAAAAAAATTAAAGAAAAATCTACAAAACACAAATGAAAAAAACAAAAAAAAACAATCGACTTGCGTGTTCTGGGGTACCCCTATTTAGCCGGCGAAATGTAAGTCAGGCGACGCGTTGACGCGGCGGCAGGCGTTCAGCAGCAAAAGGCAGATGCGGGCAGCAACAGGTCAAGCAGTAGTTCCGACCGAGGCTCGAGCGTAAGTAAAAGTAAAACTACGAGTCATGTCAACAATCCTGTTATCGGCGAGTTAATTCCGTTGTTGTCAACATGCCGATCACCGCGGCTCGGCCCGAAAGCGTACGGCCGTAACACCCTCCTTTTTGCCATTTTTCAAATGTCGTGTAATCGGATTGGATTCTCGACGACAAATGAAATGGCCACGAAGGGAATTGAAAAATGGCAAAAAGGAGAGAAAATTCAAAAAGTGCGGTTGAGATGGGAAGTTGGTGTCCGAGTGGATCGAGGTCAAGATAGCTCAAGTGGTAGAGCAGCGGCGTATCAAGCCGAAGATCGTGGGTTCGAATCCCGCTCGTGCCATTGACTTGTTTTTATCTCAACTAAAAATCTTAATTAATTGTAATTAATATAACGATAAAAATGTATATATTTTGAAATAAACAACAAAATACAAATGTCCATTTTTTTCTTTGAGTTTATAAGTAAAAAGGAACTATATCTCTAGTTTTGATTAACGTCAATAAAAAAACTGTATGTATGGCGCACATGTACTATACTTGAAAGGCTATATGAAAATAGCTACCTTAATTTGACGGGCATTTTACTATAAAGATAAATTAAAATCAATCCTTTAAAAACAGAGCTATTCTTTTCACAAGAACAGTGCTCTTACGTGAAGGTGATTTGTCGCACCGTGGTGGTATAATTCCTTTGTCATAATCAGTTAATTACTAAGGTAGGTTTATGGTTGGACAACAAATTAAATTCCATCATACATATTAACACACTAACAGCAAAAAATAAGAAAGCAGTAAAAAACTGTTTCCACTACTAAATAGAGAGTCAGTGTTGGAGTCGGGCAAATAAGCTTTTGTTTAATGTTTAACGAACACGAGCAGCTATAAAAAGCTGCAAATAGTGCAAAATAAGTTCTTTCTTCTATCTACATGCTCCCCACGACGTAAACAAATAGCTGACCTACACAAGAAAATTCTTTTCAAATTAAAGGCTAAGTAACGCTGGAATTTTGGGTACTATATGTTGATATATGTGCGTGCGAAAGGAAATCTAGTGACTTGGTAGCCGCCATAAGAACACCACGAGAAGGGAAAATAAACATAACAATTTGGAAATTCATATACCTTCAGAAGAAAAGTTAGCTTAATTTTTTTACTATAAATTTTTGGTTCTTTCTTAGTCATGGTTTTTTGTCAGCATTTTACCTTATAAGCTAAATTATTATTTTTTCATTCATTGGGAATTCATCTTACTTTTGTGAATATAGTCTATTTAAAAACTGAAATCACCCGTATTCATACTTATGCACTTTCATATTTTCAATTAATGATTCTTTTTATGTAAGGTTTTGGTTGAAACGAAAAAGTTAGTGTCACGAGCGGGATTCGAACCCATGACCTTCGGCTCAATACGGCGTTGCTCTAACCACTTGAGCTAACGTGACACTAACTTTTTTGTTTCAACTAAAAAGTTAGTGTCACGAGCGGGATTCGAGCCCATGACCTTCGGCTCAATACGGCGTTGCTCTAACCACTTGAGCTAACGTGACACTAACTTTTTTGTTTCAACTAAAAACTTATATTGGAAGAAGTAATTTGGTCAATAGACCTCTAAATATAATAGACTTATGTACACACTTTGTAGTATTGTGCATTGTAAATAGTAATAAAATATATTTATTTATCTGCCGGTTATATAAAAGACTATGAAAGTCAGTTGTTTTTGGCTGTTTTGTTCCTTCGGCATTTGTTGTCCAGATGTTATTCCCCTTCTCTGTTGATTATGAATGTTTCATCGCAAATCTTGACAATTTCAAAGGCTCTTGCATTGTGTATTCCGTCAGAACGTTTGATACTTGGCAAAAAGACAAATTACCCCGAGCTTCACGTCATAAAGACGGTTGTTTGCACCTCAGCCGAAACATAAATCTGCTCGTCATGAACAGTAATCCCGGATCAAACCCTCACATATCAAATGTTCAACATTCTCCCCTTTCGCAGGGCGTGCACGTGAACTAGATTATCATAACTTTTCAATTATAGCAGGCGCATCCTATTATATTCAACAGCCACCTTTACATACAACTTTCGTCAAACTTAGGACCCTTCGTCTCGGGGGTTAGAGTCGAGAGGGACCGACACCCTTCGCCCCTTGGAAAAAAGTAATTTCTTTCAGTTTGTTTTTTCATTATTTAATATGCCCTTGGCCAAAGATAAAACTTTCTCTTTTGTGGAAAACCGGTTTACCCAAGACAAAGAGATTCTTGTAAAACGGATTAGCGTTGATTTAGCCATACCATGGAGTATGTGGTTGTTCAGTTTGTATTGCTTGTTATGAGGCCGTTGTAATGAGATAGAACGGGCAACTTAATAAAGTGCAATAAGAGAAATTAAATAAACATAGAAAAGGACGGTTCTATAACAGATTCCGGTGCTAGAGGCTATTGTCGGTAATACCATTAGGCTTGCGGCTTACCCCAGTGTCAATACACAAAGAAAATCTTCTGGATTTCCACCTCGCTCCTTACCCCGCCCCCGGCACCACCTCGTCAGTCTCGCACCATCCGTATTGTTATTTTTTCACAATTGGTTTACTCTCGGGCCAGCAACGCAGACCGGATCCCGCTTTTATCCGAGCTCTCCTCACCGTAAAAAAATCAATAGCGGCGGCGGAATTCAATTCGTAAACGTGGTCCTCCCTTGGTAATCCGGATGGGGCTCGGGCGTGGGACCGGGAAAGCGCGAGGACGCAGATTATAAGGCAGACGACCGAAACTTATCCTCCGGGATAAGTCCTTAGAAAACGGAAGAAAGTACCGATATTTATATGTAAATAAATTCCGAAGTATCATTCAAGACGGCAGGATCCAAACAGTTGACTCTTCTGGATACATTTCCATAAATAACACATACCGAAAACCTCGAAGCTGATACCAAAAATCTCACAGAATATAAATTTGCAATTTAAAATCAGTACTGAAAACGACAAGACGTGATGGCATTCTCACGTTTCGAACCGGTTTCTCCAGAACATAGATTTTTTTTAACTGGACACTAAAAACAAAGTCCGATTGACATTCAGTTTTATTCACAACACGGTCAGACAAGCACTTACGTTACTATTCGTACGAAAACGTAAATTATCACAGGGGCCGTCAACAGACAGTTGGTCCAAAATTAAGCCATTTTGTCATTCTGAACCTCCTCATTATCGATCAAAACCTGCCTTCGTTAGTTTCCAAATGTTGAAATCACGATTATCACAGACGAACAACCTGGTAATGGACAAAATCTGTGGTCGGTCTTATTACATTCAGACCATGGATTGTTTATAAAAATTAAGCAGTCAGTTTTTATCCACTTAGTTACCTGCACACTAAAATCGGCCGTCTAATAATATAATTATTATATGTGTTATTTATCTTTATTTCGTGTTGGCCCGGACAATACTGACTTTTTGACTTAATGGGGATATGCCTAGCGTTTTAAAATGATTTATTAGGGATAAAACTACAATATTTGGCAATACCTAAATTGGGAACATTGATTTATTGGCTTCATCGTGAATTTATCACGCAAACTTTAGTGTATAAAATAACTAAATAATAGAATTTAATTATTTTAAATTGAATGAATTTGACTTGGTAAATCACTTTATATATTATTAAATTCACTAGTTTTCGCGGTCCACTTGACCAATTAATATATTTTAGTTAATTAAGGTTTTTAGTTGAGATAAAAAAGTCAGTGTAACGAGCGGGATTCGAACCCACGACCTTCGGCTAGATACGCCGCTGCTCTACCACTTGAGCTATCGTGACTTCGATCCCTATTCATGCCAAGAAACCAATATGTAAAAAGAAGAAAAACGATAAATCTTTTTATTCCAAAGAATGATTCTTTTTTCTTATTCTATCATTTTTGACAATTTTTTCGGTCCACTCGGAAAACAATTCATCTCAGCCAAGACCTTACACAAAAAATATATTTAATTTAAATTATTAATAAGGTCAGTTATGATTACTAAATACCTATATGGATTGATATAATAATTAAATGCGTGGTATTTAGTGACTGTTAGCCAATGATTATTTGGAGATCGTGAAGTGCGGTTTGGTGTGATGTAGGTTTCAGAAAATATTTTCTTTGTCCCGTCAACGTTTCGATCTTTATTGAGATCATCTTCAGGGCCTGGGATTTATAAACCCTGTTTAAAATTTACAAATACATGTAGGATGTGGAAAAAATGAATTCATACAATGCTAGAAATTTTAGACTCAATCAAAGTATTTGTACTCAAAGTGTTTGTTTTCTGTTTGTCATTATTGGGTGTCGTGTTGAGAGTGCCAGTGAGATATTGATGTTTTATGTTTTATATATGATTTTGAAGAAGTGGGGAAGGAAGTCGGGACAGAAAGACATTT